CTGGCTACTCATCCAGTCTAGTCAGTTTCTCCCAGCACAGCTCTGTTGATCCTACTGGGAAAAGTCCCAGATCAAAACAGCAGCTGAACAGTCAGCTCAGGTCATGTTTTCTTCCAAGCGTTGGGCATGCCTTGCTCTGCATATTACATACATGTTTGGGTGCAGTTCTGCTGCCTTTTACATTTCAGCAGGCAGGAAGTTGATAAAGTGAATGAGCAGCAGTGAAGTGTTAAGGAGTGCAGGTTTTATCTGCCATGTAGAAGACACTGTCCCTTTCCCCATTTGCAGTTCAGAATGGCACCAGAATGCCTTGATAGCTACACAGTCTATAGAGTATTATGTCACTGTTTTGTATTCCAGAATAAATGTGGCTTTCCCCCCTTAATTCCACACTGTCGTGCTCCAAGGTTGGTAAACTCTATAGCACCTCTTTCTCACTTGCACAATTCCATTCAGGTGACCTGCAGCAAGTGTGAACAGAAGCATGTTGTGAGGTAGGGTGAAAATAATTTCACACTGATAAAAAAATCTAGCAGATGTTCATCAAACAATTAACCAGACAGACAAGTATCCTCCCTGCTTCGCATGGAAAAACTGCTGAAAAATGGACTGGTCGTAGCTTTAGATGGCCTATATATAGTTTTCTTATTTGAAAGCAGAGTACTTGCTGGAATTCTTGTGTTATAACCTTAACCTTCCTTCTAATACATATTACTAACCAGAGCTCTGAGAGACTTCGAGGAGGAAAGTCTAAGAGGGTTGAGAATCCTTGTTTCTTCTGGTCACTCTTTAGTATCTCCTGCTAGAGTTTTTCTCCTGGCGTTTGTCTCTCATCTTTGTCTGAATCCTGAGATTTTTTTCCCCATCTTCCCTCCTTTTTCAAAAAAATAAAAAAAATTAAAATTAAAATATCAAACTCTCCATACAATCTGCTTTCCAACCACGCGAAAGCAAAAAGAACAAAGCCTTGTAACTCTCTGGGCAATATACTGTGGAAGAAATAGGAATGGATTTAACAGTTCTGAACTGACCCAAACAGCAGTTCATTCATCCTTGCTGTGCCATTCAGAAAACAATGAGGGTCACCAAACTGCGGTTTTGCTGATTATTTGCTACTTTCTCAGTATTTGTCAGTTCTGATCACTTTTACTTGGGGTAGTAAAACTTGTTGATCAGAAGTTCTGAGCCACCAGGAAGTTTCCATTAAAGTCCACACTGTTTTGTTATGATGAAATTGTCCAGCTCGGTCTCAAAAATCTCAAAAAGCTGTGCAGAGCTGGGCCTGGTTAGTCCTTCGGTAGAGGCCTCCAGGAAGTCACAGGCTGAGACATTTAAAAAAAAGAGAGAGGCATCTCCTGGAGCACATGGCGAAGCACTTCCTCAGGCTGGCAGAGAAAGCTGTGTGGGCACGGCCTAAAAGTTCCCAGGAGTTGAGCTCAGTTGGAAGATGTTGCCTTCTCCTGAACTTATTTTTCAATCAGCACCTTTAGGATTGGACGGGGTTCCTTCCAGGAGGGAAGCCCGGGCTCCGTTCAGAGCAGGGTTAGGGTCTGCCACCGGCAGACGAACGATGCTCTCCCCTCGACCGCGCGTCCCTGCAGCACGTCCACCCTGCAAGCGGTCGCAAGGCCGCCGTCCAGCTTCAGCTTGAGACCCGGGGCTCTCCTGCCGGTCCCCCACCCGCCGCTCAGCCTCAGAGGTCAGCCAAGGTCGGCCCGCCGGCTGAAGCGAGAGCGACCCAGCAGGGCCAGGCGCAGCCGCCAGCGTCGAGCTCGTCCGGACGGGGGAGAGGCGGGACCTCGGGCCGTCCGCCTCCCAATCGGGCTCTACGGCGGGAAAACGGCGCCTTGAAAAAGGAAGCGCCGGCCTTCCGACCCTCGGCCCGGTTGCGGGGTCCGGGGCGTCGTCCGGCCTCGGGTCGGGGGAGCAGCGCCCGGAAAGGCCGGGCGCGTCGCGGCTCCGGGCGTCGCGTGCTGTAGCAAGCGAGTGGCTCAAGACGCGCGGCGCGGCGCGGCGCAGCAGCCTGTCCGCCCGGGCGCTCCCCGCGGACCCGTCTATCCTCGCCCC